AAATAGGGGAGGGATGGTGGGGGGTGGGGAGCTGGGGAGAGATAGCAAGGGGAGAAATGCCAGATGTAGGTGATGGGGAGGAAGGCAGCAAATCACACTGCCACGTGTGTACCTATGAAACAATTTTGCATGTTCTTCACATGTACCCCCAAACCTAAAATGCAATAAAATAAATAAATGGGAAAAAAAAGGTGTCTCAATCATCTTTCCCAAGCACCACTACAGCAAAAAATAACTACAACATCAGATGCCTTGTATGTCTCAGCACAAATTTATGTAAGAGCAGGTAAAAAGACAATCGAATGTGTAAACCTATTAGGTGGCCATTATGGTTTGCAGGAAAAGTTCTTCAACATTCAATATTTATTGAGTGTCTGTATTTACCTGGCACAGAGCTATTGTCTAGAGACAGAGTGGTGAACAAGACAGACTCCTTCACTGACTTACTAGAATTTACATTTTAATGATGGTAAATATAATATATATTAATATATAATATATGCCATTTTATATTTTTATATTATATATTGATAAGTATGTGAAAAGTAGAAATGAAACTGTCAGAGGCATTTGAAAAAGAGCAACTCCATCTTCAATAGGGGCTAGGTAAAATAAGGCTGAGACCTACTGGGCTGCATTCCCAGGAGGATGGGTATTCTAAGTCACAGGATGAGATAGGAGGTTGGCAAAGATACAGGTCATAAAGGCCCTGCTGATAAAACAGGTTACAGTAAAGAAGCCAGCTAAATCCCACCAAAACCAAAATGCTAATGAAAGTGACCTCTGGTTGTCCTCACTTCTCATTATACACTAATTAGTATGCTAAAAGCCACTCTCACCAGTGCCATGACAGTTTACGAATGCCAGGGCAATGTCAGAAAGTTACCCTATATGGTCTAAAAAGGGAAGGAACCCTCAGTTCTGGGAATCGCCTACCCACTTCTTGGAAAACTCATGAATAATTCGCCCCTTGTTTAGCATATAATCAACAAGTAACAATAAGTATGAGCAGCTGGGTGGCCCATGCTGCTGCTTTGCCTACAGAGTAGCTATTCTTTCATTCCTTTACTTTCTTAATAAACTTGCGTTTACTTTATGGACTCGCCCCAAATTCTTTCTTGTGCGAGATCCAAGAACCCACTCTTGGGGCATGGATCATGACCCCTTGCCAATAACAAAAAACATTAAGAGTTGTGATAAGTGCCTTGCAGGAGACAAACTGGGTGCTGTTATCTGGAGTAGGGTGGGCATATACGTCTCACACAGGAGGCTACGGAACCTATCTTGAAAGGGGATATCTAACTTGGAATCAGAATTATGAAAATGGGGGTAATAAACTTCATGAATTATGTTCATTATACATTATGTTCATTTATAATTCATTACTGTAATTATGCTCAATCATGAAAGTACAAGGAGAAAAAAAAAACTGCCAAATAGAAACAAAATGCAGAAAACTGAAAAAAGTCATTAGAAGTCTGGAAATACTGCTCTCTCATTGCAACCATTTTTCTCTCCTAAGCATCAATACAGGCATATTTTTTTCATGATTAGCAGTGACCATAGAAGGCAAAGAATATTACTGTTGTTGTTTTTAGTTCACTTACAGGAGAAATAAACATTGCTATGATTATGAAGTTATGATTCATTGAGCATCAGCTATGTAATGTGGATATTATGTATAGTATTTCATTCAATCCTAGCAAATATTCTAGAGGACAAGAATTGCTATCTCAATTTTAAAACTGAGTAAACTGAGGTAGAGTCTCATAATTTGCCCGACAGTACACAGCTGTGGAGGAGTCAGGCTTCTCCTCTGGAGCCCAGTGAGACTTGTGAGCCTGTGAATTTTAACTACTAGGGTAGAAAGCAAAATTATGGAAAGAATTGAAATGATTATCTTCTCTGCCTTCCTTTATTCATCTGATCACGTTCCCACTGACTGTACTGAATTTTGTACTCAATTACTTAATTGCAGTATAAAAATATACATTGGCTTCTCTGATGATACTACTTTTAAAAGCCATTGGCATTTTGTAGAGACATTGGTGGGAGGGACTTCATCAGATTTCATTTAAATGCTCAAGTCACCCAGCTATCATTTTGTCTTCCTCAAACAAAATCTTATTTTGTAATTCATCTCTTTCCTTTACAGAATTCTGTATTTCATCAAGATGTTTGACTTGCAGTTCCAGTTTTGACTTGATCCAGCATCTAGCATAAAATGTGAAAGGTGATAACAAAACTTATAATTATTTCAATTATGCTTGAAAACATGTGTAGGCATGTTTAAATATAAAAATATGCTTAAAAAAGCTTTTTATTTCCAGTGGATAAACCTACTTTTAAAAGGCAAGCATATGCAAAATAGTTTATTTTAAACATCTATTTATAAGGGAAATATCCATGAGAATAAAAATCCAGAATACATTATTTGATTTGTCAAACGATGATAGAATAGATTCTGCAGAATTTTGTACTTAATTGTATCATCTACTACCAATGGAATTATAAATGAATCAATGTACTCATACCACAGCTATATGTAATTATCCCAAGGTCTGATTAATGTCCTTAGATCTAGTGAGGTTGGAGAAAAAAAGAGAAAGATGAATAACGATTTACCTGCTTTATTTTAAATACATCAGGCCAGGATTTTCCTATGAACAGTTTTATCGGGTCACCACCATCTCTCCAGTGACATATAATGCCATGAAAAATCTTATTTGTCTTTTCTAGTGAACAATCACTAGTTCTTATCTCACAGGATATTTTAAAGTCTGCATGTCTCATTTTTGCTTTCCAGTGCCTTACCAATTTTCATGGCATTGCCACAAAACAATGGCTTTACATTGGTAGGGCAATGCACCCTCATTTAAAAATGTCAGACGTCTCACAGGCTATACACCCTCATTTAAAAATGTCAGGCGTCTCACATGGTTTGGAACAGTTCCCAACAGTTTCCACACAAACAGTCTGGTGTTTTTCACAAATATGAGTAGAGAAGCAAGTTAATATGCCATCAAATGATCATCCCTTTGCCCTCCTAGCACAAATCTCATATGCTGTAAGAAATAAGTAAAAATTAATGACTAAATTATTCACATCTTTGCTTTGCTTTCTTCTTATTGTTCAATTCTCAGCTTAAACGTCACCTCAGAAAGTTCTTCTTTGTCCACTAATCTAATGCTGCCCCCCCATTTTTTCCCTTATAAATTCCTGCTTTCTTGTAGACAAAATACTTATCAATAATACCTTTTGTTTAGTTGTTTGCTCACTTTTATCTAGTCCCACTAAAAGTCTGTAAGCCCCATCAGGGCAGAAACTTATATTTCACTTATGTATCCCCACTACCTGGCAAAGTGCTTAGTGCATAATTGGTACACAATAAGTGTTTGTTAAATAATAAATGAGTGGATGAATAAGTGAGCGAGAGTGTGACTCTCTGGAAAATATATATGTAAATGCATTCATTCATCCAATAAATTCCCAATTAGTCATTGTTAAATATTCATTTTAATCATAAATATTATGATAAAAGAAGGAAAGAATATTTTTATATCAACTGTTCTCAACTGGGGTGGAGGAGAGGGATTTTTCCTCCATGGATGTTTTATTTTATCTGAATACATTTTTGGTTGTTACAATTGGGAGAATAATACTGGTATGTATTGAGAGGCCAGGGATGATGGTGCTAAGCATCCAATGTCTGTAACCACAGGGTAGTTCCCCACAAAATGAATGATCAAACCCCAAATTTCAGTAATGCTAATACTTTACACTAGAGTCTGTATTTCCCATATGAAAGTAATTTAACATGTACCTATTAGACAGCTATCATATGCTAACATGAAATTGAATTCTGTGAAGAAAAAGATATGTTAGAGACAAACAGACAAACAGATAGATGAATAGATGGTTGGCTGGCAAGACTAATGAATAGAAGGATGGATGAATAGATACATGTGCACATAAATAAAAAGATAGTAATCACAACATTCTATGTAGGACTAAAATAAACCATGTGTGATTACTAATCTCAGGAAATGTACACTCTTGCTATTATCTAATCATGTCTCCACAGAATTCATTCTATTTAATAGCAAAATGTTGGATCACATAAAAAGATACATGCAAACATTAGGGGAAGACTGTAGGCTAATTTTTTGCATTGAATGCTGATAATATTTGTGAAGAGAATGGCTATGATGAGAAAGTGATCATCAGGTTTTAATTATGTACCCCATGAAGCAATATCTTTTTCAAAGGAAAAGTTTGTGTTACTTTCCCATAAATGAAGATTCCTGTGTCAAGTGAGAGATGTATTAACCATGCGAATGGAATGGTTCTGCATGTGATGAGGCAGAAAACTGAAATCCAAGGAAACAATCTGAGCAGGAGCTGTTAGAAAACCACTAGATCCCCCCAAAGCAGGGCTTTTACTTGGATCACCAGACACAAAATAAAAGTATTTTGTTTTCGTAGAGAGGTGCTGCATTTTATATAGCATAGTCTACAAAACAGATGAGAAGTTGCAAAGGGAGGATTTATATAGAGAGAAAGAGTAACTTCCCCCAAGCCTTCCTCATTTCTGTTGCAGTATGAAAGGATCCAGAGTGCTTGCTTTGGTGATGCATCTAAAATTGAAATGATACAAAGAAGGTTACTTTGGTCCTTGTGCAAAGACGATATCTAGATTTATGAAGCCATTCACATTTTTTAGTTGGATGACATAATTCAATGTGCTGAATGAAAAAGACAGTCAACCAGTTACAACCAGTCAACCAAGAATTCTATATACAGCAAAACTATTCTTTGAAAATTACAAAAATAAAAATAAGACATTTTTGGATAAACAGAAACTGAGATAATTTCTTGCTAGCAGTTTTGCCCTGCAAAAATGTTAAGGGGCCTTCAAGCTTAAATCAAAGAACACTAGATGTCAACCTGAATCTATACAAATAAATAAAAAAACACTAGTAAAGGAAATTACACAAAAAAAAGTATTAAAATATTTTTGTAAGTCTTTTCTATTATCTGATTAAAAGACAATTATATAAATCAATGATTATAATACCATGTTAATGGGCTTACACTGTATAAAAGTATAATCGGTACAATAATAACAGCCAAGGAGGAAGGAAATAACAGGTACATATTAGAACAAAGTTTTTGTATACTATTAAGTTAGCTTTCATCTCATCTAGATTATTTTAGTAAAATGCTAATTATATTCCCTAGAACAGCCACTAAGAAAATAGTTTTAAAGATACAATAAAAGAAACAAGGAAACAAAATGACATGCCAGAAAATATTCATTTAACACAAAAGAAGGTGGATATGAAGGAATAAAAAAAGACATAGACATATAGAAAAAATAGCAAAATGCCAGACCTCAATTCTATCTTATCAGTAACTATATTAGACATTATCCTGTCAATTCTCTTAACATATTTTGTTAGAAAATGGTATAGATACCACCCATGGCATACTATCTAAAAGAGATAAACTATAGTTTCAAAGATATTTACAGAGCAAATGCAAAAAAAAAAAAAAAAAAAAAAAAAATAGAAAAAAGATATAGCCTGGGCACGATGGCTCACACCTGTAATCCCAGTGCTTTGGGAGGCCAAGGAAGGCGGGTCACTTGAGGTCAGAAGTTCATGACCAGCCTGACCAACATAATGAAACCCCATCTCTACTAAAAATACAAAAATTAGCTGGGTGTGGTGGCATGTTCCTGTAGTCCCAGCTGTTTGGGAGGCTGAGACATGAGAATTGCTTGAACTCAAGAGGCAGAAGTTGCAGTGAGCTGAGATTGTGCCACTGCACTCCAGCCTGTGTGACAGAGTGAGACTTTGTCTTAAAAAAAAAAATTACTTGGAAAAATACACAAAACAAAGCTGGGGTAGTTTTATTAACATTAGGTAAAATAGACTTTAAGACAGTGATGGATCATCAACAAGAGAAGATTTCTGGACTCTTGCAGTCCAGGAGAACCAACCTGACTACAACTTTACCAATGGCAGATCACAGTGCTGAAGGCAAGTAACACAAGATAGCACAGTACCCAAGCACTTGGATGTGAGGCCCCTTTCTACTGTACTCCTGGAGTTATGTAAATTCTCAAGCTTGTAGGCAAATGTGTGGGGAGTAGCAGTGGACGAAGGAATAACTATTACATACTGTGCAACTACTAGGGAGACTAAGTTACTTCGAGCAATTACAGGGCTTATCAACCTAAGCGCCCTTGAAATTTCCAACTGAATAATTCCTCATTGTGGGGAAGATATGCTGGGTGTTGTAGGAAAATTTAGGGGAATCACTGGTCTCTACTCATGAGAAGCCAATAGTAGAAGTCATTACTTGCAAAAAATGTGTCTAGATGTTGCCAGATGTCCCCTAGGAGACAAAATTACCCCAGTTAAGTACTACTGGGTTAGAGAATGTAATATCATTAATTAGGAATCATGTAACAAACAGTTGTAGTATGTGTTTGTATATGTGTGTGTGTGTGTGTGTTTGTGTGTGTGTGTCTATGTATCTGTGTGTCTGGTGAGTGTGTCTATGTGTTTGGGAAAAGATACTTACTATTAGTTAACTTCTAAAACTAGAGAGGAAAGTTTCTTCCATTCTATTACCCATTAAAGAAGAGTAGTGATTAAACTTACCACCCACCCACTCAACCAAAATTCTCCTATTTCATCTCTACCCTTCACTGAGTCCTTCTTAGAGAAAAAGGTATTTAGTTGCTGTAGTAAAGGTGATAGTTTGTAATGGTGGACACTCATGAGTCCTGCATCTTGTGACCATCCTTGAACATCTCCCTTTAAACAGTTTCAGGTTTTCCCAGGGCCTGCTTGATGTAGCAAAATCACCAGAAGCAGTTCTGAATTCAGATTTACCAGTAATAAAATTGTTTCAGCACTTTAATTCTTATCTAAATTATTTTGTGGATCCTCAGTTTGCTGTCAGTTTACCACAAATTGTACTGTTTTCTATTAACAAGACTGATTTTCAATTATTTTCTTGACGTATTTTGTTTAGAAAATGGTATCGATACCATCCATGACAGTGCCACAGTCTCCTGAAAAATCCTTGCAAATTCCCTCATTCTTTTAGGTACAAAATTCCTATCACTGTAGCTGGCATTAAAAAATCAATGCCTATAGTCTATTAAGAACATTTTACATATAAATTTTAGTTTTAAATTTTATTTTGATTTTGACCTAGCAAAGATATTACATGACACTTTACGTGAAGGTTCATGCTTCCAAAATACTTACCTTTACACACCTATTTTTATTTCTTTTCATTTTCTTTTTGGCTTTCTTTTTGGATAATAGAAACCTGATTTTAGGCCAACATAACCACAATCAGCAGTTAAAAAATACTCAATGTGAAAAAAAGATCTACATTTTCATACAGTGGTTTTATACCAAGGATGAAAAAAATAAATGCTTGTCAAGTGAAGGCATTAACACATTTTCAAGTGACTTATCAAGTGCAATTTTATTCCTTGGCTCAGCATTTCAGTTTTGCACCATCTATTAATCAAGTCTAAGCAGCTTGTATGTCCCCAGTCCCTAGTTCAGATAACTTCACAATCACCACGCACTTCTGTCGTCCCTGGTACTGTCTTCCCTTTCCTCCATTGTTTCAGTTCAGCGTTTCACTCAACTCCTTCAATCATCCCAACTCTACTATCCTTTGAGAACAGCAGCCATCAATTTCCAAAACCACAGAACAAGGACTAATGTTTATACTTTCAAAGGAGATTCAGTGAATAAAAAAGACCATTTAAGAAATGCCAGGAAAAATTGATTACTCCCGAATTCAGAGCAACCAGTCCAAATTGTAGAAGAACAACACTATTTGTTCCCTAGACTTGGTAGTGAGAAAAAGGAAAAAGACTACTAAATTTATCTTTGTTCTTTGTTGTATATGAATTTTAAAATTCACAGAATCTAAGAAGCATTTATCTTAAGACAAAGAAGGAAAGAGACTAGCTATAGAAAACAGCATCTCCACCATTAAAATAAATATTTTAAGAAGCTTAAGTCTATGTAAAAGGATATATAAGAAGACTAAAAAAGAAAGAAAGAAAAAGAAAAATAAAAGTGATGCAAGGAACCAGATACTTTATTGAGAAATCATTTGATCAAAAAACTTACTATTTCACTGAGGTAGAAAGCCATTAGCCATATATAAATGGTGGGCTGTATTCTTCTCAGTCTTTATCCTTGAAAGTAACTGCTAAATTGCAGCTTTAAGACTTAAAGTCTAAATCCCATTAGTCTATTTTTCACAGATACTGAATATTCAGCATCATTCTGAATATTGTTCTTCTGTGGGTCCCTTTTTTGTGTGTCCCCATTAGAATACCAAGATCTGAGCATGAGAAATATAGGTGAGAGGAAGCTCAAGATTTCTTGAAGCTATTTGAAAGGCAAGGGCAAACTCACATCTGAAACTCATGCTTCCTGGATTTTTCTTCCACAATCTGGTTCAAAATGTCATTTCTTACTCTACATCTAGGTTTGACAGAGTTCAGAAACTAAAACATTGCTTCCTGTGTGAGATTTTCAGACTGCCATTCAGAAATTCATAAAACACCACCTTTATTGAATAGCAGTGTGGATCTTCTACAAGGACACTGTCTATTCATTATGTCCAGTATCCCAAATCCACCATTATGCTTCTTGAAAGGGAGAGTAAAATGCTTCCAATTTATCCTCATCCTTTTTATGGATAATGCAAAGAAAGCAGCACATCAAACAGAAAAACAGGTTAATTTAATGCCAGTCATGAAACTTGGTGACAGGTGCTGCCATATGTTACAACAAGATCCCTTGGCCATGGGTCATTGCTTTGAAAGGTATTAACGAATGCTTGCAGCAGTGTGTGACATACCACTAGTCCCCTGGGATCCCATGCAAACTCTCATGACAGGTATGAAATTAACTCATGGTATCATAGTATTTTCCAAACATGACAGCTCCCAGATTAGTCACCACTTAGCACAACGGGGATTGTGGGGAGATCTGCAACATCTAGTAAATGATTTTAGTGGGATCTCCTATGGACCACAAGGAAAACCGTCCCCAAAGAGAATGTCTAGAAAGGTTAAAATCATAAAAGGCAGTGGTCAAATACCTAGACAGCAAGCAAAATAATTCTGTTTTGGATATTCTTGTAATTTTAATTTGCTTCCTGGCCTGATTTCCATAGAGCAGATGAATAAAGTATTCAGTATTATATTTTGAAGTGCTCTTTATTTCCTTCTTGAACTGGAACAAAGTTTCAGTCATGAGTTGAGGAAGTACTGGGCAACCACACTTCCTTCCAGCTGACATGCACAAGCACACAAACACACTCCACATTCCTGCCTAGTAAAATAAAATACAAATACCTAAATGCTAACTACATTTTATGTTTCTGTTACATACACAGATGCAAAATCTGTGAAATGTAACCATAAAACTTCTTGTTACAGAAAAGAAAAATGTTAAAAGAGCAAAATAAAACTTTTACATCATATAATAAAGGAATGTGTCACTGGCTAACTTTCCTAATTTCTGGGTTGATTCTCTTTCCAATAACAATTCGAAATGTCATGCCAAAGATAGGGAAAAGGCAAAATAGGGAAAAGACAAACTAAGCAAATGTAACACTTAGAAATAAAGTTACATAAATATTTATTTTCCTTGAATTCCTGAT